TCTAGCGATTATGAGCTACCAACTCCCTAATTGCTCTTGCAAGATCAGCCTAACTGACTTATTGTCCCTTATGCCTAACTGCTGCAGTGGGTTGACATTTTAAAGCCATAGTGATCACATGAAATGAGATTCGTCTAGATTAGGATTTTAGAATCAATGTATTTAGAATCAAAGGATGTATTTTGGAAAAGGAGAGAATCTATTTTATACATGCTCTGTTTTTTTTGGCCTAATCTTAGTTTTGCTTGTATATAGGATGAGCCAACGATTGTCTAACTTGATACTAACAAAAACCTTGTACCACCCCGATTCCAAAAGCATATAAAATTTGGACGTGACTCGTCCGACAATGCAACTATACGGTCACATTCATGTCTCTAGATCATCTTGTATATAGATATATAACCAAAAACCAGCCCACATAGCATGTATTTAAGATAGCAAAAGAAATATATAAAGAAATTTCTAGAAAAGTGTTCAACTAGATCTATTGATAATGGAAAAGAGTAAGAAAATACATCATAGTTTGGAAAACCCATGTAGCTCTAGGAAAAGTTTGAAATAGATAGCTACCTAAACAAACTAAAGTTGAGAAATTGATAGGATAGAAGGTGATTACTGTCGTTGGGTCTGCTCCTCAAAATACTCTTGATCTTGCGAAGAAAGAATAGTCATCGAGTTTGAGGTGCACAAATCTCAGGGGAGTCAGAAAACTCCCAACAAGCATGTAAAATAAAGAAAATGTGCACGAGTAGATTTATGTGATAGATATGAAGAAAGGATGCAAACTAAATTAAAGGTGACTAAAATAAAGGAGATGTTAACTATAGATATTGCAAAACCTACCATGAGGCACACAAGTACCTTATTTTTTTATTAGATGTAATTTGAATTAGAGGAGAATATTTTCACATATATAAGTCAGTTTTCCTGTATAACCGTTCCGGGAACACGGCTTTATAGGCATTTGCTTTTGGCCCTTATATATAACTAAGGGTATCAGGTATGCGCATAAATTCTTATATATATTTTATATTCTCTAGCCAATTCCCCTTTATTAAACCCTATGTTTATCAATTTTTCTTTAAGTAATTGTGCATGAAATGTTGTGCACTAACACAGTGTTACCTTGGAATGACTTCTGTAAAACTATGAAAAATAATCGTCGCCCAGAACATATCCAATCAAGATGGGTGCATCATCTAGTCGATGCTATAATAAGTAATAATAGTCAAAGAAACCTTACACCGGGATATCAACATTGAGGGTATAACAATACTATGATAGCACGCTTATGAATCATACTTTCGATGGAAGTCGTATTCATGCACAATTGGATTTATTGGAAGTTGGAAGTCACTAGGTGATCACACATGTCATTAGGTGATCAAAGTCGGGTTTTACGCAATAACAAACACTATTTTGTAAATTACAGGTACATTCTCAAATGTCTACTCATGTCCTTTTCGAAAATTCCCATCGCATTACCAATACTTATTTTCCACCTCACTCGCATGTTTATGTATCTGTGTAAGTCTATACGTGCATATATACAGGTAATGTGCTCAGTAACTAATTGTCCATCTAATTAGTATCATCTAGAGTATAGGTTTCAAAGCACAAAGTTGTGAATGGCTCTCTGAATGAAGTTAACCTACTAAGCAGCACGAGATTCATGTTCTCAAGTGCTATTCACATAGTTATGAGAAAATAATTAGACAAATAATAAAGATTAGTCTAGTAGTTTTGATAAGGAAAAGAAAAGTAAGTATGTTTGGAGAGTTCTCAAGCTCACATTTTTACAATTATTTCTAGTATTAAGAGCTTGAATTAAGATAAAAATGGAAACACACACACGCGCGCGCACACACACATATGTATATATAATTTTCTTTACTAAACATTTTTTAAATGATATATATATATATATATATATATTATATATATATATATATATATATAATATATATATATATATATATATATATATATATATATATATATATATATATATATATATTATCTTTACAAACAGTTTTTACTTCATTTGAAAATATCATGCCTCAAATATACATATACGTATAAAGGAAAATTATTGCTACTTGACATTAATAAAGAATATTATTTTGGTTGACAAAGGAAAAACGACCCATTCATCATGAAATTATTTTGTAACGATAATATATATATATATATATATATATATATATATATAATATATATATATATATATATATAATATATATATATATATATATAGCTACGTAAAATTATTTTACCACATGAAAATCATTTGACTATATCTCTATTGTCCAAACTATGTCTAACTGACAATATAATTGAAGTATTGAACATAGATGGACGTGTCGGTTCCAAGCATGCAAGGATCTAACTGCAGCATTAAAAAGTCTACTAAATAACTATATCATGATGCAGGAAAATAATGCACCATGAGATCAAGTGCCAGGGTTGAATACGTGTCCACAAACAAGAACAAAGCGCATAGTAGTTTATGCATGAACTCTGGGTATTAATAGCTAACCAAAAAAAAATTTAATTTACACGTTAATACCTACAGGTAACTAGAAAAAAACCTAATGACTAAGGTGTACAAGATTGCAGAAATAAATCTACTATGCAGTCAAGATCGAGGAAAAGTTCATTCATACTCCCAAGATATGGACTTCTTTTACTAACTTAAACTATGAAACAACAATTTAAAGAGGAAAAGTTATGCTTGCCTCAACCAAAGAACTCTGAATAGAAAAGAAAACCATATCCGTTCCTTTCCAAACTCCTGATGTCCTCTCTGTATTCTTCTTCCCTGTCTGTTTTACCCCCCTCTGTGATTTGGGGCAAGAACGGCAGACGAGAGGGGATTAATTTTTAAGAGAAAATTTTTATAAGAATATCTCTAAGATCAAGGGATTTTTAGTTAAATCTTGTAAACGTGGAGAGGTTGTTATGGGATAATGCGGAACTTCTCTCTATTCACGGGAGAAGTAAAGGGGAACTGCGTGAAATTAGTTAGATTAGATAAGATTTGGTTGGGTTGAAATAAAAAACATTTATGTGCTGGCTACAAAGCTAAATGGCGCATCAACTAAGTGGGCCTTCAAAGAAAAAAGGAAGTTTCATGTATACATTCCTAGCTACTAGCTCAGCCCAATAATCATATACCCAAACTGGTTATTATAGCTTCTTAGGCCATATACTACTTGCCTTACTTTGTAAATGCGAGAGTATTTCATCCTTCCCTCACACATTTTCTAGCTTGTCATATTCTTCTCTTTGAATGAGACGGACACACCACTTTGGCACTTTCACACTCCGTATGATCTAGATCCTTGGTTGTTTTTTTGGTTCATCAACTCACATTTTCTACCTTATGATACTCTTCTTTGAGTGAGGCGGACACACCAGTGTCACACTGTATGATCTAGCTCCTTGGTAGGTTTTAGACAACTTATTTCAGGCGGATCTTGTACACCAGAAACAGGTAATATCCCTTGTTCTCCATTATCCCAGTCCGTTCATTGCTCTCATCATTGCCTTACGTGAGATAGTATCAGTTATTGGAGCAAACTGCTCGTCCAGTTGTTGATTGTCCTTCACAAACCATAAATTGTCAAGAACTTCTTGGGCTAACAATTCTTTCTGTTTGTGTGAATCTACAAATAAAACAATACAAATGAAAAGAACAAACTAGCAAGTATCAAGTGGACCAATTTAGTATATAATATATTATATTTGCATGAAATGTTTCTTACAGTTGTCAGACATGCGTCAATTGCATTCAGAAGGTGATGCATTACAGGTTGGCCAAAAAAGGCTTGAATTGTTAACCATTTGTAACCCAGGAGTTGAATCATCTTAAGCAGTACACAATTGAATTGTTGTTATGAAGTATATAAAGGAATTAAAAATTGTGAAATATCAGATTCTATCATTTTGTCTTGAGCATTTAAACTAGCTAAAACTATCAGACGGGACGGGTGGCTTGGAAAATAGTTAGAGTTGGTACTCCGCTGTTCTATGCCTTGTGATTTATTCTTTGTGTGAGGTGCACATAGAGAGGTCTAATTAGGTTCAGGTGTGTCCTATCACTCACTGGCCAGGGAGTCGGGACCTTATGTGATCTGAATTTTTTACCACAAGCAACTAATGGTGGGCAAAAATGTTGCCAAATGCTGTTGCAATCCATGTATTAATACTATAGGACTTAGTTTAGTTTGTGGTCAGGGTAATATAACATCAAGCTGTCTGCGTGCACATGCACGCCATGCACACATACGACCTCTTACTGCCGATCCCCACCCAACGCATACACACACATACATCTGAAACCAAGAGGAAATAGAAAGAAAGAATGAAACACAGTCATCCACTCATCCCTCGGAATAAGTTAGTTAATGGATGAAAAGAAAAACTAAAAACAAATTGTATTTGTGTTCCCTTGGTTTTATCCTTCTATTTGTTTTATTACCCTCCTTCATGACGAGCTGATAAATATTATCAATGGCCTATATCGCTATTTTTGTTAATTTGTTTCAGAAGCTAAATACAATGTACCATTGTAGCCCTTAGCTACTGGTGAATCCCTGCATCTTACCAAGACCTGTATTTCTTTCTTTCTTTACTGAGCAAAGGCCATGTGCTGTTCTTGGATCAGAGACTTCTCATAGCTCCGACATCCTTGCTGCTGAGCCAGACCTCCGTAGCTATAAAAAATGGTTCTAATATAAATGAATTTCAAACAAACATCTAGAGAAAAGAAAGATATCACTGTTTCTTGGTAATTGTATCTCGATTCAAGTCAGCTTGTCAAATACAGGTTTGATGCATTTCATGTCTTCATTGATGTTCATTCCATGCTCCCATGGCTGTACATTGTAGAATGTATTAACTGTTACACTCTAGATTCTTTGATTATTGGATCTGAAGATATGATATGTGCCCTGTAACCCATGATTGACACTAACTAGTTATCCTTTATTCAGTGAAGGGGTTGCATCCTTATTGGAACATATGGTTGAGGTGATGTGTTTGCATGTCTCAGATGAATCAGCAACCGTACGATGTCTTTGTTTACGAGGACTTGTTCAGGTCAATATTCTAAGCTTGGAATATGTTCTCAGTGTTTTTTCCCCTTGTGCACGCATGCGTGCATGCGTGCATTAAAGATTGGTTTTTTTCCCCTGCTTTTGCCCATAAACCCTATTAGTTTCAGCAGATCATTAGGTTTATGTAAAAGCTAATGTTTTCTGTGGTGGTACTGAAAATGAGCAAACCATTATAATCTACACTGGTTGCAGAGACTACATCTAAAAATATATTTCTTACAAGGAATCAAGTAGTAAACAGGGAATCGTTTATTGTAGAATTATTGTAGATGTTTATGTTTGATTCCCCGTAGCATTGACTTGGACCTATTACAACTCAATTTTCAAACGTTATAGGAATAATATACTCATCGGAAACCTCTTTCTAACTACCTAAATAGCATGTACACTTCCATACACGTGTCAGATGCAAAACATTTTTTTGGGCTTGGACACATGTAAGACACTTTCCAAACATATTCTCGATTATATAGTATGTTTTTTAGAACACTTTCATACACTTCTTAGACCCATGTTCTATATTTCTTATCAATTCATTTATGGACACGCTTCAGATATTTGTTTATGCTGATTTATATATTATAGACTATAAATTGTTGAGAAAAGGCTGCTGTATATAGGATTACGATGATAGGTTTAGATGTTTAGTTACAAGAAGCGGAATATTTGACCTGCTTTAAAAAGTCAAAGAGATGAGGCCCTACTTGGGAGGCCCTACTGGGCTATTCTTTTGCAGAATTTTTTTAAGTGCATGACAGATTATAATTTTTATATATACATGCCACACTAAGTTATCATCTTAGTTGTAGGCCTTTGGATGCATGGAGGTGTCAGTAGTTTATTATATTTATATACTGGCTCTTAATTATTGATATGTGCTAAAGAATGTTATGCAGTTATCTCCTTGTTTATGTTCCTGTGTTTGTAATCCATGTTTCTTAGCTAACTCTTATTTTTTTAATATTGTTTCCTTAATAGTTTAGTATTTCATCTCAGATACCAGAGAATAATATGTGTCAATATATTGCACAAGTTCTTGGTGTAATAGTAGCTTTACTTGAAGATCCTGATGAATCAGTCCAATTAACAGCATTGCAGTGCTTATTGACAGTGAGTTTCTTTTTCTGTTATAAAGCTTCTAGTTCTTCTTTTGGTTTGGTAACTAAATGCAGCCATGAAAATTATTCTTGCAACGTTTTCATGACCGTATACATATGTACAAATATATGCAGGTGCTGAAATCTTCTCCTAAAGATGCAGTAGATCCTGTTTTAGTCAATCTCTCTGTAAGGTTACGAAATCTCCAGGTGATTTGGTTTTCTGAAAATTGTTTCATTCTAAATTCACTTACTTTTGTATCAAACTGGCAATCTTTCAACAAATAATTCATCATGTAAACATCTAAAGACAAATGTTAGTATACTTGCAGTATTAGCGATGTATAATATATGATATCATGTTTATTTGTTTCTTCTAATTAGCAGTAAGTTTGATTGATTATGTTGCTTTCCTGTTGCTAGTAAATAGTCATTTCAGTACATGTAATCTACACATTAGGTCATTAGAATTACATGAGGCTAGT